TCTAAAGGCGTTGTAATAAGTTTATATGACGTTTTTGGATGTCTTAACAAATTTTTAGGACATTTTTAATATAAAAACGTCACATGAGCAACTTTATAGGACACTTTTGAGAAAGTGTCCTATAAACTCAATTTTACATAAGACACTTGTTTTTATATGATTTTTTTTCAAATAATGTCCCCTATAAAATTGTTAATGAGACGTTTTATATTAAAAGTCTCCTAAAAAACTTATTAATACATCAAAAAAACGTCATATAAACTTATTACAACGTCTTTAAATAGAACAATTTATTTTTTGGTCCTATAAACCAGGTCCTATAATAAAGAGGACGCTTAGAAATTGAAAGCGTTATATAAACCCGATTTTGTTATAGTGAGTGATACTTTATTAATATTAAATTTTCATATAAATAGATTTCGATAGTTGATAAAGTGCTATTTGTGGAATCATCGATATTTCGGTCAATTTAGTAGAAAAGTGGCTATGAAATGACTTAGGAAGTCCATAATGGATATTTTGAACAATTACCGTAAAATCATTCACCTTTTAAAGAAAAAAATTCTAGAAAATCGAACCAACTTTTTTATTTTGAGTGATAAATCTTAATATTTTCAAATAAACGAATTTTCTGAAACGGTTCAAAAACATAATTGTAATCTATTAAACCAACCGGTTAATGTATTAAAATCTTTTAAAAAGTTCCAACATGTTTTTTCATATTTTGAATGATTAAATCCCTGTACTTAAAATACAAATGAAAAATATACGATATCTGTTATGAACAACAAAATATAATGAAAATATATGATTTGTATTAGTAATTTGGAAACATCCACCTCCTTAGGCTTTTGGCAATCATATATTGTAAACATGATAAAAACAACACTTGGTATATTATATATTCTTGTTTTTGGTATACTTCATATTTGCTAATACAAATTATATTTATTTTATTTTGTTGTTGAGAGAATCCGTATATTCCTTTTATTTTGTAACCAAGGGAGTACCGATCGTAGCTTCGTAAGCAAGTGAAGGGGAGTCGATCAATGGTAAAGTAGGAAAAGCCAGGGCTTACAGCTCAAATAAATTGGCTGATACGATAATAGGGCTTAGGCTTATATATTAATAGGGCTTTTCTCATTTGGGCCTAGATTTGATGTTCTAAATATAAAATGTTATTCATATTATTTTAAATTCTAGTAGGAAACTTAAAAGTGTCATATTAGCTTTTAAACACTAATACAACAATCAAATATGTTCTATTAACTTTTAAAAATAACATAACACTTTAAAATGTCTTATTTAAAATAATTTAACACTTTATAATGTCTTATTAGCCTTTAAAATAATATGACACTTAAGAAGTATCCTATTAGACTCTAAAATAATATGACATTGAGAAGTGTCGTCACATTAGACTTGCATGATAGGACGCTAACAGAGCTTAATAAGACTTCAAAAGTAAGAGTCTTATTAAATTAAATCAAATAGGATTCATAAAATAATGTGTCGTATTGGCCCTTTTAAAAGACGGGTCTTGAAAGTGTCCCAAACAAGTGTCCTATAAACCAACCGGATTTTGTTGTAGCGTGTATATGTACTTCTTATATTTTGAAGTCTTGCAACTTCAATGTGTATCATCATCTCTAATTAATGACAATTCACAAATAACCCTACAAAATTAATTTCCAACAAAGTTCTTGAATCCGCTTTGTGACAAGAGATAACGTTTAAAGCTAAACAAATAATCATTTGACAAGACCCTCTCTTAAGCACGTAAAAGATGCTTACTAATAATCCATTTTGATAACGGGAAATGTTACTGATAAGGTAAATGAAAACGGTATCTCTTGTCGTTAAACGCTTATCCAATAAACATTTGACAAGACCACTTAGTCATTGAAATTAGGGTTTATTAGATTTTAGTTATTGATATTGTTGTTTAATTACTAGTGATAATTGAAATGTAGATCCATCACTACAACAAAATCGGGTTTATAGGACACTCTCAAATTCTAAGTGTCTTAATAGATCTCTTTATTGGACTTAGTTTATAGGATCAAAAAAATAAAGTATCCTATCTAAATGCGTTGTAATAAGTTTATATGACGTTTTTTAACGTCGTAATAAGTGTTTAAGACACTTTTAATATAAAGCATTCTATTAGCAACTTTATAGGACACTATTTGAATAATTGTCCTACAAAAACAAATGTCCTATAAAAATTTGAGTTTATAGGACACTTTCTCAAAAGTGTCCTATAAAGTTGCTAATGTTGCATTTTGTATTAAAAATGTCCTCAAAAGCATTATATAAATTTATTACAACACCTTTAGATAAGACGTTTTATATTTTGGTTCTATAAATTAAGTCTTATAAAGCAATCTATTGGGACGCTTAGAGATCGGGGGCGTCCTATAAACCCAATTTTGTTGTATTGAGATATGTGGGAGAAAAGACAATTCAATAAGAAAAAAAATAATGAATGAGACCCTATGATATGCAAGTTCAGGTTAAACACTAAAATGGGATCTCATGATGTGTAGTAGAATGTCATTAAATTTTAAACGAGGCACCTACCTAGCGTCTAGAAAAACTATAGCAATAGCAAGCTCACGAGCTTAAATATTACAATTTGAAGTTGTTGCCAATGAACTGTTGAAACACGAAAGCAGCCAAATAGATAGAAATAGTAATAGTCGATTATCTTGAGCTTTGATATCAGATAAAAACTTAGAGAAACAGTACGCTATAACAGAAAGCATATGATAATTTAAGTTTTACATATTTTATTCTCCAAATTAACCATGCATACATATTTTACAAATAGGAACTTTGTAACAACAAAGATTCAAATTTGGGTCTTTCAAGCATGATAAAGTCGTCTTAACCAATTTGCCATTGAGCATTTTGTTAATTTTTAACCCATTTCGCTCTTTTAGTCTCTTTAAGGTAGTGTTTGGTATGCAGATTGGATGGAACAGAACAGGACGGGACGGTACAGGACGGGACAGGACATGACTAATTGTCCGTCCTATGTTTGGTACGACTAGGACAGGACGGGACAAAACTATTAAAATGACCATATTACCCCTAAATGTTGTTCAATGTTATTTTATATCATATGATAATTGTAAAATGACAACAAATCAATCAAAATAGTCATTTTAACTTTAGTCCTATGTTGTTCCACCTTTTTTGGTGGAACAAAAAAAATCAAGATTTGTCCCACTAAAATTAAAAATAGTCCTACCTTGTCCCATGTTTTTTTTGTCCATGGCATGCCAAACATGAGACTATTTTTTTTTGTCCCGTCCTATCCCATGTAGTCTGTATACCAAACGCATTGGAAGCCTGCTTCCTTTTTTTTTTATTGATCTTGAAAACTTTGCTCCGTATAATATATAATATATTACGATTCAGTAAATTAAACAACACATGTATAAATCTAATAGCATACATTATGAATTTAAATGCATTTTTATTATTTGTTTAAATATGTGTTATAATATAATAATAACAAATTCAAATTTTAATTATGACGATGAATAATTTACTCTGGTTATGGTTGTATTTTAATATTGTAACAAAAACTTAGGGGTCGAATATGTTAAAAGCTAATAAATATAAAATTATTATTGGAAATGTATATAAATTGGAATAAGTAATATATTTGAAATATTTTTATTTGATATTAAAAATGGTGTAACGGGTTGACAATGAATTACTATATACATAAATCTTTACACCATTTTAGTATAAAAATTATGCGAACGACTGAAGGTGGTCTAACATTATTTCTACATTCTTATATATAAACCCCAAAATATTTTGTGTTTTGTTTATTTTTATGCATTTTTAAGTGTTGCCGTCCATGCTATCAAAAAGCTCTGACCGACCCTGATTGGACTAGTTGTTCAAGTAAGCATCAGAACTTGAAATGCTTCTTTTATTTTTAGCAGCAATGTGCTTTCCAGACGAAGAACACGACTTACACTGAAATTTTAGTTGCCATAAAAGAATTATTTAAATAGATATGATTAGATATAAAATATACAATCACTCGAGATTGAAATTCAGAGACCATATAGCCAACAAGGGAAATCAATAACAAAAGACGAGAATTAAATGCAATACTCAAAGTCGACAATGCTGATGATCGACGATTATTACTATTTATGACTTGAACAATTTCAATTTCATGTATTTTATATTTACAATTTTTTTTTAATTTCCTTTGTCCTCATAATCAAATAAACAAACTATGATTTGATGAAAGTAAAAAGTAAAACATACTGCATTGCACATTTTAATTAATATAATGTTATAAGTTTAATAAAACATTAAGTTAACAACTTCATATTAATAACACAAAAAATAGAAATCTTTCAGAAAATAGTTAATATAAAAATTAGTTGATGTATAATAAACAAGTGTAGTACACCACTCCTCTAAAATAGGCTAATTTGTAGGTGATGAAAATCCGATCGATCGCTAAAAATATAATTTGCCGATTAATGGGAGAGAAAGGGAAGAAGACGACAATTATTTCGTGTAACTATTCACATCGACAAACAAGTGTAGTACACCACTCCTCTATTTTCTGTTTATAAATTTTATTTTTAAGTGCAATTGTCTCAATTTTAAGTACTTATCTTAATACAAACCATCAATTTGATGTTTTTCTTGAAATATGATTCGAGTTGAATTTTTTTAGTGCTAAAAAGGCCCATCAATTTTAGCGTTTTTGGTGTTTTTTTAATGTTGTCGTTGGAGTTGGTCTTAGGTGGACTAGGACTGATCATAATGGTTATGGCCGTTCATCATAATTTCTCCTGGAGACCGGTCTGGACAAGGAATGGTCACGTAATGCTGAGTTATGCCCAGGACTGGTTACGACTAGTCCTAGAACCGATCAGTTCGAGGGCAACCTACCAAAAAAAAAGTGATATTTATAATTCTTAGAAGAAGAAAAACCCATTTATATGGGAAAAAAAGGCTGTTCATCTCACAGCTGCAAACCTTGCCAAGATATGCATCAACATCTGCGCTATATGCATCTTCGATAAGGACAGGCTTACGGCATCGACAATGCCAACATTCACCATAAAATTTTGCAGTTTGATTAAGCACCCAAATAGTTGTCATCTCAGACTCCATCAAATTCCAAAATCAAAACTGTATGTTCAAGATAGTAGCAGCAGCAGCATTAATTTTTGGTGCAATCAACAGCATTCTCAGTATCTCCTGGCCCTGATGGATTTGGTTCAGTTGTAATGGGAGGAGGGCAGACTACATTTTTGACAACTGTGAAGTAGAGATCTAAATCTGCTCTGAGCTTTGAGCATGACGCTTCTATCCACTTTTCTGCTACGCTAGTCGGCAGGCTATCCAGGCTGTCCCTTTCGCGTTCTTCAATTGCAGGGCGTATTTCATCATATACGGAATCAAGTTTTGCAGTTGCTTCACTTCTTACCTCCTAAACAATGAAAATAGAGTGAAGATATAAGAGGTGAGTATGCAAGTCTAAACTTGATTTATTGAACCAATTCTTGATTATTTTTCTTTGCTTTTTTATGAATCTAGAAGGGAAGACAATTTGCAGGATTGTTGAAGAATAAGCAAAACTTCTGTTTTCAGTTCGTTAATTAACCGATTTGGCAGTTTGCCGTTATGACAGTGATGGCAGTTTCCTTTCCCGCCAAAGTCTTCTCTGTGAATCGTTGCCTCTCTTCGGTTTCAACCGTTGTGTTGGTTATGTTCCTTTATATATCTTTGTCTTCCATTTGTTGTTTATGACGTAATTCTGTACAATCTTTGTTCATATAATAAAAGTGATGTTTATGTGAATCAAGTATTTCGATATTAGTTATCTTTGATCTTACAACATATGGTATCAGAGCCATAATCGTATGGTTTCAAGTTCTCAGAGCATCCAGCAACTCCAATTGCCCAAACTAAATGGAAGAAACTACTTCCATTGGAGCATCCAAATGAAGGTGATGTTCGAGTCTCAAGACGTTTGGGCAATCATCGAAAGGACATCGAAAGGACATCGAAAGTGGAGACGAAGAACCAGTAGCTCTTACTGCACAACAAACCAGTGAACTTAATGAATCAAAGAGAAAGGACAAAAGAGCCCTGTTCTTGATTTATCAAGCAGTGGACGAAAATATTTTTGAGAGGATCTCAGCGTCGCAGACAGCCAAAGAAGCATGGGAAATGCTGTTTAAATCGTACAGAGGGGAAGAGAGAGTTAAGACTGTCAGGCTACAGAAACTAAGATGTGAATTTGACAGCCTTAAAATGAAAGAGACAGAGACAATAGAAGAATATTACACAAGGGTGATTGTGCTTCTCAATCAAATGAGATTGAATGGAGAAAGCATAAGTGATAGGAGAGTAGTTGAGAAAATCTTACGGAGTCTTACAAGAAAATTTGAGTATGTGGTAGTTCCCATAGAAGAATCCAAAGATTTATCAAATTTTTCTTTGGAAACCCTTCTAGGAACTCTTCAGTCTCATGAACTCAGAATGAGACAATTTGAAACATCTGTTATGGAGCATGCTTTCCAAACTCATACATCATGGGAAGCAAACACAAGTGAGAAGCAGAAAGGACTGGATTCAAGTAGAGAAGAACAAGGAACAGGAACTTTCAAGAGCAAAGGCAGAGGTAAACCTTACACTCAAGTTAAATGCTTCTATTGTGATAAGATAGGACATACAATTAAATTCTGTAGAAAGAGAACAGCAGAAGAAGGCAAGACATCCAGTTTTTTACACAAGGAAGAAGGTCATAATGATGATGATATGTTTATGATGTTAAGCATTCAAGAAAATACATCTAATGACCTTTGGGTACCTTGATAGTGGATGTAGTAATCATATGACCGGAAATAAGGACCTGTTTTTGAGTTTGGAAGAGTCTGAAAAGAAGGATGTGAGGACTGGTGATAACAAAAAATTGAGTGTATATGGGAATGGGGAGATCTTTGTCAAAATTAGAGACAAAGAGAAAAGGATATCTAATGTTTTTTTATGTTCCTGGCCTTAAGCATAACTTGTTAAGTGTAGGACAGCTGATCCTCAAAGGATACAAAATTATGTTCAAAGAGGAATGTTGTGAGATAACAGACTAAAATAACACTTTGATAGGAAGAGTTGCTATGACAAGTAACAAAATGTTCCCTATTAAGTTTGACAATGAGGAATTCTTTTCTTTGACCATAAGCACTAAAGACACCTCACTATTATGGCACAACAGATTTGGACATGTAAGTCTAAATACCATATCTCACATGCACAAGGTTGACTTAGTAAAAAGACTACCATCTGTCACTACACTTAGTCAAGTCTGTGAAGGGTGTGCTCTTGGAAAACATGCTAGGGAAGCATTTCCACACGACAAGACTTGGAGAGCCTCCAAACAATTAGAACTCATCCATTCTGATATCTGTGGACCTATGAGAACCACTTCATTTGGTGGCAGCAGGTACTTTCTGACATTTATAGATGACTATAGTAGAAGGGTTTGAATCTACTTTCTAAAAGAGAAATCAAAAACCTTTAACTACTTTGTGCTTTTCAAAGCTATAAAATTAAAACATTAAGGACTGACCGAGGGGGCGGGGGAATACATAGGAAAGGAATTTGAAGACTATTTGAAGAATAATGGAATTTACCATCAGTTGACTGCCAGTTACACACCCCAACAGAATGGGGTGGCAGAGAGGAAGAATAGGACCCTAGTAGAAATGGCTAGGTGCATGCTCAAAGCCAAAAACCTTCCTAATATCTTTTGGGCAGAAGCAATAGCCTGTGCTGCCTACTTGATAAACAGATCATTTACCAAAAGCCTCTCAAATAAGTCTCCTCAAGAAGCCTGGAATGGTTTTAAGCCAAGTGTAACCCATTTGAGAACTTTTGCATAAGGTGTTGGGTTAAGTCCCGCAACGAGCGCAACCCTCGTGGTGTGTGCCTTATGCCCATATTCCAAATCAAAAGAGAAGAAAGTTGGATGAGAAGTCAGAAAAAGCTGTTTTTGTTGGGTATAGTTATAACACCAAAGCTTACAAACTTTACAATCCTTTTGACCAAAAAAGTTATCACAAGTAGAGATGTGATATTGATGAAGATAAGGCTTGGGATGGACTGACTTGTGATGAAAATGGAAGTTGCATCCTAGATGAACACTTTAATCAAAACAGTCCTGATGTGGATCTTGAACCAAATGTTCCCACTACACCTGTTAGTGTACCTGTGAGAGCATCTACTTCAACTGAGGATGCTAGTTCTAATAGTTCATCCTCATCAGATCGTGCAAACAGAAAGACTAGAAGTCTGAGTGATCTTTATAATAATACACAGCCTATTCACATAAGCAACCTTGCTGATTTTGCTCTATTTGCAGATGTTGATCCACTGAATTATGAAGAAGCTTGCCAAGAGAAGAAATGGAGAGAAGCAATGGATTCTGAGATGAACTCAATCTTGAAGATCAATACATAGGAACTGGTTAAACTGCCCAGAGGACAGAAATCCATAGGAGTAAGGTGGATCTACAAGACTAAGTTCAATGAAAAGGGAGAGGCGGATAAGCATAAGGCAAGACTTGTTGTAAAAGGCTACAAACAACAATTTGGGATCAATTACCAAGAGGTATTTGATCCTGTTATCAGACTTGAAACCATTCGATTGATTCTGGCTATTGCTGCACAATATAACTGGCTTGTGCATCAAATGCATGTCAAGTCAGCCTTTTTGAATGGATATCTAAAAGAAAATGTTTATATTGACCAACCAAACGGTTATAAGAGAAAGGGTTAGGAGCATAAGGTATGTCATCTCAAGAAAGCACTGTATGGTCTGAAATAGGCCCCTAGAGCCAGGTATAGCAGAATTGAAGAACATTTCCTTGATCAAGGGTTCAACAAATGCAATTATGAGCACACACTCTTTATCAAGAAAGTTGGTAACACCATTCTCTTAGTCTGTATATATGTAGATGATTTAATCTTTACAGGTAATTCAAGTAAGATGATAGATGACTTCAAGAATTCAATGAAGTAGAACTTTGAAATGAAAGACTTGGGCCTCTTGCATTACTTCCTTGGGATTGAAGCAACTCAAGGTACACACTGTATTTCCATTTCTCAAAAGAAATATGCAAGAGATTTGCTACTAGCATTTAACATGGAGGATTGTATTACTGCTGACACACCTATGGAGTTTGGTTTAAAACTCTCAAAAGGGGACGATGGAAGAGAAGTTGACCCCACCCTTGATCGCAACTTAGTTGGGTGCCTTGTGTATCTCACGGCCACAAGGCCTGACGTTATGTTTTCTGTAAGCTCAGTGAGTAGGTTTATGGAAAATCCTATAAAGGAGCATTGGGATGCTGCAAGACGAATTTTAAGATATGTCAAAGGGACAATCATGGTATCACTTACAATCACTCTCAGGATTTTAAATTAGTTGGGTTCATTGACAGTGACTATGGGGGAAACATTGTAGATAGTAGAATTACAACTGAGTATGTGTTCAGTTTAGGATCAGGTGTCATCTCTTGGCAATCCAAGAAACAGAAGGTTGTTTTCCTGTCCTCTACAGAGGCAGAATACATGGCTTTATCCTCCACAGGTTGTCAGGCTCTGTGGCTTAGAGGTATCTTGGAGGAATTGGGAATTCCACAAAGTTCCTGCACACAGATTTATTGTGATAATAAATCTGCTATCTCATTGACTAGGAACCCTGTTTATCATGGAAGAAGCAAGCACATACGGATTAAATTTCACTCTATCAGGGAGCTTATTCATCACAATGAAGTTGGTGTTCTGTTTTGCAAGTCTCAAGATCAAGTTGCTGATATACTCACTAAATCCCTTAAACGTGGGAGTTTTATGATTCTGAAAAAGGAATTGGGAGTTCATGAAGTTTAGCTTATGGGGGAATGTTGAAGAATAAGCCAAACTTCTATTTTCAGTTCGTTAATTAACAGATTTGGCAGTTTCCCGTTATGACAGTTGATGGCAGTTTCCTTTCCCGCCAAAGTCTTCTAGTGAATCGTTGCCTCTCTTCAGTTTCAACCGTTGTGTTGGTTATGTTCCTTTATATATCTTTGTCTTTCATTTGTTGTTTGTGACGTAATTCCGTACAATCTTTGTTCATATAATAAAAGTGATGTTTATGTGAATCAAGTATTTCGATGTAGTTATCTTTGATCTTACAACAAGGATAACTGGATTTATTGTAAAAGCAGTATTGGCATGGGGAATATTTTTGATCCTGCTTGATTTTCATTTAAATAAGTAATACATAATTCGCTTAATATTACAGATTTGATTGATAAAATATTATCATTAATTTGACCCTGCTGGTGAAAACTCCCAACTCCACCACTCTGAAGTTCCATCTCACTCTTCCATTATGTTATGGTTTTCCAGGAACTACGATTTTCCAAAATCACCAACTTCTAGACACTGGACTGAGATAAAATCTGTTTCACCTATCCTCAGGCTTCTAATGGAAGTTTTTTCTCTATTTGGTAACCGTGGATGTTCCAGGCCCACTTACGCGTACCTCAACTAATCCCATGAGGCACTCAAGAAAATCCCCAATTGCCCCGAGGAGACTCGAACTCTCCTCAAACTGTGGAGGAGTCCCAATAATTGCCAGTTGAGCTGGCCTTCAAGGTTTCTAATGGAAGTTAATAAAGAAGAAACTGGCCCGTTCAACCAAGATGACTATGAAATGCAAAAGATCAAAACCTATAAAAAGGCTGAAGAGAATTGCCCATTTGTACCTCGCATTTTATGAGTTCATCTTGAACTTTTTTTGAAGCAAAGAGTTGAGCAACACGTTTTCCATTGATCTGCTTCCTACTAGAAAGCTTTTGCTTTCTGTTTGGGCTACGCTTAGCTGGCCGTTTTGTAGATCCTGTACCTGATCCGTTGTTAAAATCCCCAAAAGCATTATTACTCCTCAGCCCAGAAGCTACCACAGGATGCTGACCACCTTCTTTCTCCCCATCCGCTTCACACTTGAAGTTACCAACTGCCCCACCACCAACCATCCCTGAAAAACATGTCTTGTATTTATACCCAAAACTGTCGTTGTTTAGCCCAGCGTATTCTGTCTTCACAGTTATTGACGTTTCTTGGATGGCAGAGTCCGTAACTTTGTTGAGTTTATCTGAAGGTTCGTCTTCAGCAGAATCATACAGGGGAAATTCATCAACTGTATATCTGATGGAAAAGAAACCTCAATACAGATCATTCAATTGTACATCAAATGCAAAAATAAACAATAAGAAAAAAAATTATTATGCAATATAGCAAATAAAGACGGAACATCTGATGACCAGATATAACATATTTCAGACCACCTGCAAGTTCTAAATATAATTCATTATCAAATCCTCCCTTCGCCCGAAAATAAATGTCCAGAGTAATTACTACACTTTTGTAATTAACTAAATGACAATTCTACCCTTAATAATAGAGGGACTAATTAATTTCTCCATCTCAAAATTAAGAGTAGAATCGGAAAGTAGGCACTCCTTTTGAAAATGAACAGTTAATTTCGGACAAACTAAAATAGAAAATGTGGACACTTATTTGGGATGAAGGGAGTAATAAGAAAACATTCACTGCCAAAGACCAAATCCCACTTCCTCTCTTCTCAACTCTTACAATACCTTTCGATGGTCAGTAGAACCATGTTCTCAACTTTACTATTTTCTTAGGTCTGCAAAGCGCTTGTCGATACTAGGATATCTTCAGAACATACACAAATTCCATTCTATCTTTCTGATGTTAGCTGAACAAGGGACAGGCCTACATTAAATACCCTCTCTGCCTCATTTTGTGCCCTACTTTTACGATTTCATCAATATAAAAATGAGGCGAATTAGAAAAAAAGAAGCCACTGAATTGATTTGATTATTCGAAGTGTATCAGCTTCTGGTGAGCGCTAATCGAACTTTATTTCCACAACTGACTTCTACACACTTCATTCACAATAACTAAAGCATTCCAGAAGCTGGAATCTCATGTATCTCGGCCTTACAGGTTCAAAATTTTGATTATCCAAGTCATGACTTCTACACTCCCCCCAATCTATTTATGCCTGCTTTAGCCGACCTTTTCAACTAACCCAACTAACTCCCAAAGAAAACTACAAAAACTCTTTGATGACAACTGGCACGACTTGTGTCTGTTTCCTCCCTTTTTCTTATGCCTTGTGTGTGTTTCAATCCCCTAGCCTCATCAGCTTCTCATTACTTTGATGTTGGCTAATATTCTGTTTGACCAAAGAGATTATCATAGAATATTATGGAACATGAAAAAAACTTATGAAAGACGATTGTAGGACCCCGAACAAAGTATTGCTCGATTATAACCTTTATTTAAGATAAAATAGTTCCCTACATATTTAGTAACAAGTAATAGAAAGGTACCCGCTAAATTGTCCCAGCAAAAAGGTGGTGGAGTTTCCATAACAAGGTCTAGGGTCAAATCCGGCCACGCTCACCCAGCCCCAGGACATCGCAATTTACCTCCCCCAAGATGTCCGTGGGACCGGTATGGTGGGGGCGCTCTGGAGGGTGGTGTAAACCCTTTTTCCTCAACTAGTAATAAAAAGGTTAAGAAAAAGAATTGTACAAGATTCCTTGAGAATATCTTGTCAATTAAACAGGCAGAAGAGTAGTTACCATTCTGATATGTCTAAAAGAACATAAGCATATTAATATATGCCAGCTAGATCGCTAAAACCAACATATATACATACATATGCATGTAGGAAAAGATCCAGATAGAACTGTAAGAGGCTGTATCCTTACCCTCTCCATTGAATTCCTTTCAAATAAATAGTCGATTACAAAAGTTTACAAAGGAAACCTACCATATACAATAAAGAAAATAAATCAAATCAAACCTAAAAATATTATTTACATAATTACTAAACACCCCCGCAGTCGAAGCGGTAGAGGGACGAACGGTGAGACTAGATTGAAATTCGGTGAACAAGGTGGAAGGAAGGCCTTTGGTAAAGACGTCAGCGTACTATGACGAGGAGGGAACATGAAGCACACGAACATGACCAATGGCAACCTTTTCACGAACAACATGGATGTCCATCTCAATTTTCTTAGTGCGTTGGTGTTGAACGGGATTGCTGGAGAGATAAACGGCATTAACATTGTCACAGTACACTAAGGTGGCCTTCTGGATTGGATGATGGAGTTCAAGTAGCAAGTTCCGGAGCCAAAGTCTCAGCGACAGCATTGTCGACTCCACGTTACTCTGCTTCAACACTAGATCGGGAGAGTGTAGGCTGCCTTTTGGAGGACCATGAAATTACATTGTCCCCCAAAGAGACGCAATATCCGGATGTGGAGCGGCGGGTGTCTGGACAACCATCCCAGTCGGTGTCGGAGTAGGCAATCAAACTTGAAGTAGAAGAAGAGGTAAGGTGAAGCCCATGGTCTAGAGTGCCTTTAACATATCGGTTCACGTGGCGCATGCATGAACAAGCAGACTTGTTGGATAGCATAGCTGAGATCTAGACAAGTAAACGTCCAGTATTATAAGGAACCTGCGAGGCTGTGATACAAAGTAGGATCAGATACCGGATCTCCAAAGTCAGCACTCAGCTTGCACTTGTTGTCGACGGGGTGGCAATCGGTTTATAGTTAGCCATTTTAGCACATCTGAGGATACTTTCGGCATATCGCTTTTAGGAAAGAAACATGGAGCCATTTCCTCGACGAATAAAAATACCGAGAACGTAGCTAAGGACTCCCAAATCAGTCATTGCAAACTCGGTAGTGAGAGTGGTGATGATATGATGAAGGAAGGTAGTAGAAGACACTGTCAAAACAATGTCATCCACATACAAAAGAAGATAAGCGATGTCACCCCCGCGCTGATATATAAATAGAGAGTTGTCACACTTGCTACTCCGAAAACCCATCTGATGAATGTAGGTAGCGAACCGGTGATGCCAGGCCCAAGGTGCCTGTTTAAGGCCATATAAAGACTTCCGAAGGAAGCACACATGGAAGGGGGTTGAGGAGTCCAAAAATCCCGGAGGTTTGTACATATAGACCGTTTCCTTCAAATCACCATGAAGAAAAGCGTTTTTAGCATCAAGCTGATGTATCGCCCATGAGTGAAGAGGGCAATACTGAGCACTGTACGGATGGTTGCCGGTTTGACAACCAAACTAAAGATCTCATCACAATCCACCCAAATCTGTTGAGACTTACCATTGACCACTAATCGAGCCTTGTGACGTTGCCAGCTACAGCCAAAATCAAATTTGTGCTTAAAAAACCATATGCAACAAATGATATTAGTATCATCAGGTTGGGGAACCAACTCCCAAGTACCATTTTTAATCAAAGCAATGTATTCCTCTTGCATGGCGGCATTCCAGCTAGGCTCCGTGAGGGCATCTGATGGGAACGGCGCAAGGGAGAAATGTTTATAGTGTTTAGATTAAAGGTGGGTGTGAGATTGTGGATACCGCTTTGGGCACGGGTGGTCATCGGGTGGGTACAGGTAGGTTAGTGGGAGGGGGGAGGGTGTGGGGCAGCAGAGGCCTCTGATGGGGGCTGCACGGTAGTAGTTTCAGTTTGCGGCAGCTGGTGAGGCTCAGGATAGAGCTGCTGGTTATGCTGTTGATAAGGTTTAGTACGGCGAGTGTAGACAATAGTGGGCTGCGAGGTGGGAGGAGGGGCTGTTTGGGACGGTATTGGGTTATTTGTGGGGTTAGATGTCATGAAATTGCTCAAGGATAAGTGGGGAGGGGTCAATGGCCATGAGAAAGTCATAAGATGTCGGGCGAGACACGTGAATGGAAGAGTGAGGAAAGACGTTCTCATCAAAGGTGACATGAGGAGAGATGAAACACTTTCGGGTGGAGAGATCGAAACAATAATAACCTCTATGATTGGGTGGGTAACCAAGGATAGTGCAAGGGATTGAGCGGGGAGAAAGTTTGTGCCTGGCGGAGGCGGAGATATTAAGGAAGCAAAGGCACCCAAAGGTTCATTGGTCGGTGTATGAAGGGGCACGCAAATAAAGTGCATGTGTGGGAGTGGCAAGTCCCAATGTCTTAGTGGGAAGAATATTGTGAAGGTAGACAGCCATATGGAGAGAGGCGACCCAAAATGAGGGGGGAAGGGATGCATGAGTAAGAAGGGTGCGAGAGATGTCATTGGGAGTGCGGATGATGTGTCCTGCTTTACCATTTTGGCAAGAGGTCTTAGGACATGAGAATCGAAAAACCATGCCGTGAGTTTGACAAAATGAGTGGAAAAGAGATTGGCAAATTCACGCCCCATATCACATTAAAAAGATTTTATGTCTCGTTCCAATTGAGTTTTAATTAGGGCATGAAATTGGAGAAATTTGTTGTAAACTTCAAACTTGTGTTTAAGAGGATATACGTAGACAAAGTGAGTGAAATCATCTAGAAGCACACGATAATACTGATAACCACTCGAACTTAACACGAGGGAGGTCCAAAGATCACTATGAATAATATCAAATGGTGCAAAGGTACGAGACATGGATGGTTTAAAAGGTAAGCAAACATGTTTAGTAATCTGACAAGAGGAACATAAACTATGGGAGCAAAGCTCCTTATTACATGAAATCAGGTTTTTACTACGAAGAAAACTAAAAACATGAACCTAGACGTTGATACCATGTTTAGGATGAAAGAGCCGCTAGAGACAGTGATGGAGGAGAGTGAGGCTAAGAGAGACTGAGACTGGAAACTAGATAAAGGTTGCCCGGGCTATTACATCTCATGACCGTGCCCCCCGTTCGAAGATCCTTCACAGAAAAACCATAGGGATCAAACTCAACAGAAACATTGTTGTCTTTGGTAAATTGGCGAACAGAAATAAGGTTTTTAATGATGTGAGGTGTGTGAAGAACATTGGGAAGATGGAGGTTGGGGGAAAGGTAGGCTAAGCCGGTACCCATAACAGGAAGGCGTTCACCATTGCCAATATAAGCAAAGTTAACAGTACTTGAATTAGAAATGGTATGGAGAGATCATGTGTCTAAAGTCATGTGAGAAGTATCCCCATAGTCTGTACCAAGTGGGATCAGGCGCTTGGAGATTCATGGTGCTGAAGGTAGTTGGTAAGTCTGTGAACTGCTTAGCTAGAGCATCATGAGTGAAGTATGCTTGTTGTGGTCGAGGACCAAGAACCCGTACCGTGGAT